TCTTTCTACTTCTGTTCAGCAAACACGAGGTGTTATTGTATTTCTTTATTTACGTACAATCTGACGTTTCGGCGGATTTCGTCTTCCTCAGAGCCTGGAAAAGTCAAGTTGACTACAATCTACACAGCCAAACACCTCCATAACCAAACAGAGAAAATGCTGAACCAAAATTTCGATCACATTGAACACAGAGTCTTTGCACACTCAACGCTTTCTATGAGTCTTCCACTAAATATGTCAAGTGGAGACCAACCGCACAGAGTTCACATGGGATCGTATTGTTCCCATCTCATCAAAATAACAGGCTTATATACTGCCCAATATCACGTTTTATAGCTGCACATATTTCATTGGAAATTGAGGGCAAGGTAAATGAAACCTTGTTCTCGTTAAATCTACCGTTCGTTGGTTTTGTGTCCTCTAGACGTATTCGAAGAAGCTACCGTTTCGTTTCCACTGGAAATAGCTATTTGCCTCACCAATTTCCGGGCTTCCTCCTTCTGCTCTTTCGTGTGCACACACTGGTGGCTACTGTTGCACGTTTTTCACAAGTGTCTTTTTATAAGCGAACAGTGGAGACGAAAGGTGGTGAACCAGTATGGTTTCACTACATGGCTTTTAATATCACTTTGTCACTTAGCCTTCCTTGGATAATCTATTTTGAACGTTCAAAAATGAATAATAGGTAAATAAAGACAAGACATGTTGGTAATTCGATTTCAAGTTGTGACATAACTGATAGTTTAAAACTTATCGCGTTTGCCAGTTTGATCCATTGCTTACTTGTATACTTGGACGGCCCGTTTTCACTGGTTGTGCGGGTCCTAGCATAATTTCCATTTTCCGGAAATGTACTGGTTTAGACGTTTCGGTTCCCTGGAGTCCTGAGGACAGCCTGGCCAAAGTCTGCCCCAGCTTTCGTCACCACATGTTGTCGCAGCCCTTGTGGATTAGAGGGAGATTTGCCGCAATGCCACTAACTTGATACCAGGACGGTGGTGGATCTTGGGATTGGTTCACTCTTAGCTAGTTTCCTTTTGGAAACGCCGGACTCCTTTTCAACTTGTGAGACGTTGGTGGGGGCAGTGAGAAGTGCAACACCCAGGAACACCTAGCCACGATGAGGCGGTAAACCATTAAGAGGATCTGACCCATTACCTGTTCAATTTTCGGTACCATGCGCTGAATTCCATTTTAGATGATGGGCGATAAGGGGAAGTACTTAGATGGTCTCTACAACAATTCGACATGTAGCTGGCGACGAACAACGACGAACTCTACATCCTTGCCACTAATTGATAGTGGAGTAAAAGCTCTAGCTGTTGTTCCTCCCTAGTTGATGTGCCAAGTCCAGCCTTGGCTCCCAATGGTTTACCACCTCATTGTGGCTAGATGTTGCTGAGTGTCGGGCTGCGATGTAGAACTGGGGGGATTCATTCCCCTGGCAGGGTCTCCTAAACTGAGAAGGAGTCCGGCGTTTCCATCAGGAAACCTAGCTAAGAGTAAACCAGTACTAGGATCCACCACCGTCCTGGTATCAGACTAACTAGTCGCATGATGGTAAATCTCCCTCCGATCCACAAGGGCTACGACTTCCTGTGGTGATGACGATCTGGGGCAAACTTTCGCCAGGCTGTCCTTGAGACTCTAGCGAATCACAATGACTAGACCAGTAAATCTCCGGACAATGGAAATTATGGTGGACTCCGCACAACCAATGAGGACGAATCATCGAGGTATCCAAGTCTAGTCTTGTCACTCAGTCTTGAAGCTCGTGCAGCTCGCATGCAATTCTACGTAGTATTTCCTTCTAACACAATGACTCTTGACTTCTCTAGCACGTTATCAACGCTAGCTTGACTCTTGGGACTTGTAAATGGTGTTTCTTTGTTTTATTGGTTGATCTAGTATGATTGTAAATCAATATTGACCCAGCCACTATTTGTCTCCTAAAGTGACCCTCCACATTAGTTTCCTTCGACGCGCACCTCAGCGGGCTGAACAATTTGTCCTGCTTACGTTGTAGACAGGTATGGAGTGTTTATCTCCTGTTTAAGTCGTCAACTAAGTTTCGTTTTGTGTTATGAGCTTACAAAGGAAAGAAAGTTTCAAGAAATTGAAATAACGGAACTAAATCTGTGCGATGATTTCAGCTATCTGAAAATTCCTTACAGTTTACTAAACAAAAAGGAAAAAAACGCATCGGTGATGAAATATGAAGCAAAATTAAGGTTAGTTATAAAGTCTCTAACATAGTTCTGTGCTATTTCAGCAGATAAACAATTGCGGCGCCAGCGTGCAAAACCATCAACATCTAATCCACTTGCAACGCTTTCAATGTCCAAAAGACCTCAGTTGAGTGCCTTTTGTGGTTGCAACCGGAAATCTTTCATCCGCTATCGAGCCTGCAGTTATGTGATATCACAATCTCTTATTACTTCCCATACTTCCCATGCTCTAGTTAACACCTTGACCAATACGACTTACTTTTCGCCGCACGCCGATGTGCGTTAAACTCGATGCTGTCCATTTTCCAACTCCCAGAGGATGACCATGAGCTTTCTGGGGTTTCAGCTTTAAAGTTCGTTTTCTTCATATATTTTGTAAGCAATGTATGTTTTTCAAGCTCCACATATTTTCTACATTGTTCCATATACTTTCTATGTTTTCGTAACATTCCCAACTCCTATATGTGGCGAAAATTTTGCTCCACTGTTCAGCCATAATGCTATCAGGCTCCGCTATTCGGGACCACTAAATATGTCGACTTACAAACGGCTCTTGCTCAGTTGTTCGTAGCAGTTGTTGCTTTTGTTGCGGTTCAATGGCCGACGTTTCGGCAACTTCGCCTTCTATAAAGCCCTCTATGTATGTATTTATATTTATATCTTCTATTTCGAATAATATTTGAGCACAAAAGAATTGATAACCCATGATATACCCAACGGTGAAGAGGCTACCGATGAACGCACAATTGCATCTGTGTAGGAGTATATAGGCGGCTCTTGAACAGCAGCAACTTTTGTGGGGAGAGATGTCCTAGTACACTCTTCGCTTACAACCATTGTCAGATATTCATACAGATTGTTAAGAATAACTTTTCAGGTTCGACAACTGCTCATTGAATACAAAGAAGTATAGGGGAAGAATTGTGGCAGCTAACGTTGTAGTTGCAAAGAGTATGCATCGAAATCAACGTATATTTCTTAGGATGCCTCTCTAACCACACAAATGCTCTGACTTCACAATATACTGTTAACGAACTAACTGATGGCTTTCAATATATTGAAGCAAAAATAATGATTATCTGTCACCATGAACTTCACGTTGGTATTCGTCGACTACATTATTGTTGCATATTATTCTGAAGCTTGTCTTTTCCTTAGTAATTCAAAATAATAATGATACTTGGATGGGCCATCGTCATTGATCGCGCGGGTCCCAGCATAATTTCCAATGCTTCGGAAATTTACTGGCTTAACCACTGTGGTTCCCTGGAGTCCCGAGGTTAGCCAAGCCAAAGTCTGCCCCAGGTCGTCACAACCACAGGCAGTCGCCGCCCTTCTGGATCAGGAGATTCGCCACCATGCGACTAGTTTGATACCAGAACTGTGGCGGATCCTACTCCTAGTATTGGTTTACTCTTAGCTAGGCTCACTGATGGAAACGCCTGACTCCTCCGTTTAGGAGACCTCACCGAGAGAATGACTACTGTACATCGTAGCCCGACATTTAGGAACACCTCCCAGTCACGATAAGGCGATAAACCGTTGGAAGGATTCAGAATTCGGAAAATAAAACTTCTTCTAATACTTCAATTGCAATTTTAAGATAGTTTAAATGATGTTTCATAACGCAACTCGAAACTTCGTCAAAACGCGATCCAGAGAAGAGCTTTTGAACATAAAGTGACTATGCCTATGACTGGAAAAGTTTCATATTGCGTGAACATTGCTGACATCGACGGCGCACTTCAGTTCTCGACGAACACATGAAGCCGACAATGATGCTCCTCTAAAAGCTTTTAAGGAGTTACACATGTCAGTCATACAACAATTAATCATCGTTTCAAAGACAATGGAAAAGTGAAGGTAGATAGATGCCACACGATGTGAATTAGGAGCAAAGAGATCATGAGCTTCTTTTCCACAGAAAAATGGCACGACTGTCGATTACGTTGCGACGGGCGATCTGATCGTGAAGAAGCTCCTAAACATTTGCCAAAGCCAAATTTGTAAACAGTTATTGCAACTTTCAGGTGATCTACGCATGAAATCATCACCATAATTTCCTCTATTTTGACTACACTGCTAAAACAGATAGAAATTATCGTGGAATCAACAGAATTCACCAAAAACTGTCACGTTTCCGACCTATATAGATTAAGGGATTCTGTTGCTCGACGACGTATAAGCAGATTTCGTGCAAATAAACTTGTAATGAGTGGACGGAATATGTTGCCGAACTGTTTCATCGCTTACCGAACCTACACTCTTTCTTCTCGATAACTTAATTGGTAAATCTAAGACTTCAACAACCGAGTGACTGCTAGAAATCCTTTGAAGTAATTTATCTCTACTAGAACTTAGTATCCTAGGTTACTGCACTATTTAATTCTGTTACTTGCTAACAACATTGTAGTTTAAAATGTTCACGAGTCAAGTCATAGCGTTTTGAAGTGCATGTTAAAAACCCAACATCATTTTATTATTACCAGTTTACTGTAATGCGCTAATAATAAACGACATAAAAAATGAAGAAAAAACGATTGAGAAAACAACCGATGGAGATAGAACAGTTAAATATAAAGTGATTTGATGCGAGCCATGATTCCGTGTCTACGCAACACTGCGAACAAAAGAACAAAACATAACAGGAAAAAACGAGAAAAGACAAAACAAAAACAAAGTCCTTAAGAACGTTTAACAATAAAATATCATTTTAAAGTGAAGTACCCCACTCCTAATTCCCAAATGTTTCTGTTTTTGTGGATCTCTTTGTTAGCTGAACAGCACCTGTTCAGCATATTTAGCAACGAAAAGCGCTGCTGACACATGGACGTTGAGGCTGCGAGTCTGACCGAGTTGTTTGATTTCAACAGTCTTATCAACAGATCTCAGAAGATGTACGGGAACACCTTCCTTCTCGTCACCAACAAGTAGGACAGTCTGAGAGTAAGGCTGGTAAGGTTTTCTACAAAAACGGTGGAAATAGGCAGAGAGAAATTGTTAAATTTGACCTAATGATAGACTTTCCATTCAAGTCAGTTGAAGTGGTAGGTAAAGCGACAGACACACCCAAAAAACCCGTACCTTTAAAGGAAATTGGAATTTATGTAGGAAGACACTGTCAGTAGTTTGTTCCGCAGCTATCACGGTGTAGCCGTTCTTCCGCATACTCTCCAGGTAAGACGAAAGGTTCTCAGGACGTATCTCAAAAAGGATTTGTTAGTTGTCGACGTACCTCCGAGATGATAAATGAGCTCACTGCTTCAATGTGTTGCCTCTTCTCGCTAGACATACTGAGCGCTTTAAAATTTGGATCCGATACGAATATGTGGTCAGCCAATACCAATGTATCCACCCCAAAAATCTCGCACGTCCGACATAATCCTGAAATTTGCACTATATTATGAAAACAAATAATTCAAAACTTTAGTGGATAAATCGGTCAAATTGACACAATGGCAAAGAGTAGTAGCGATTTCCACATGCAGTGGATAAAAAACTACCTCCAAGGTTAGCTGGTTTATCAACGAGAGAGGCCACTACTATCAAGCCATAATCTTTCGGGGTGATCTTCTCCTCCGTGACCACTTTTCGTTGTAGTAATGGTCTTCCTAAATATTTCGATATGAACAGAATAGCAGAGGAATGTACACGTATAGATCCTTATAATAATGTTCATAGCTGGTAGGACTTACTGAATCCACTTAAATACGCCTCTAAATTGTAAATCAACTCGCTACTAGTATATTCACAGAGAAAATGTCTCATTTTAACATATACACGTCTTTTTTTAGAGCTTACTGTAACCTTCCCAACGGTTTGCCTCTTCATCGTGGCTAGGAGGTGTTCCTGGGTGTCCAGCTGCGGTGTACAGCGGCAAGATCCATCCCCTGGTAGAGTCTCCCAAGCTGACTCCGGCGTTTCCATCAGAAAACCCAGCTAAGAGTAAACCAATACAAGGATCCACCACCGTCCTGGTAACGAACTAGACGCATGGTGGCAAATCTCCCTCTGAACAACAAGGGTGGCGACTGCCTGCTGTGGTGATAACCTGGTGCAGACTGTGGCCAACTGACCTCGGGATTCGAGGAAACCACAATGGCTAAACCAGCAAATCTCCGAAAAAATGGAGATTATGCTAGGAGCCACACAACCAGTAGGGACGCGCCATCCAAGTATCCAAGTAGTAATCTTTCGTTGAAGAGTATGTCACCAAATGAAAACCAACAGATAGGCACAACAGAGTAATGTATTCTTTCCTCGATAAGCTTACACGAGTTTGATACATAATTTTTATTTGTAACGCTTTGACAGTTTCGTCTTCATCCGAGCCGATGAGTTACGAGAGTTATCCTAGAACCAATGGCCCAACAACGATAATGCCCGTGAATGCAATAAAGTATTTTACACTTTTATGATACATTGAATTACATTCATGAATGGATTTGTGTTCACAAATCGTGCAGATTTTAACACATTTGCCATTCGTACTGCTCTCTCGCCACTGCATTGAATACAGGTTGCCTTATTCTTGCATAGTGACATCTGTACTTATTACTTTGTGACTTATAAACAGTTAATAAATTATGCTAGTTCATGTGAGATACCAACAAGTCCGCCCATCTCATCGGGATCCAATCCAATGCCCTAGGAAATCTTTGATCCTTTCAATCGAATGAACATCCTGTCTGTTTAGAATTCTTTTTAATTACACTGATGATTTATGTCTTCTGGGTTTCCTCCGATTTTACGGTTTAAGCGTAATTATGCTTCGAGGTGAATTCTGTGCGGTTGGTCTTCACACGACATACTCAGTGGAAGACTCATAGAAAGCGGCTCTGAGGAAGGCGAAATCCGCCGAAACGTCAGCTTTTACGTGAGTGGGGAAGTGGAATAGCACCTCGTGTTTGCTGAGCAGAAGTGGAAAGAAAAAAGTTCATTTTCGTAGTGCGATAACAGTTAGGTAGAACTCCTACATAAGACGGCAGATCTGCTCTTTAATCGACGACCACTGAGGGCGGCACTCGATTCGGTCCCATTAAATGCTTTTCATTGTGTATGAAATTAAGAACAATGTGCTGGTGGTATTCCGAACAAGTGTTGATGACTCTAATAAAGGTTTGGATATGCTAGAAAGCGATTCCCGCCTGATTGCTGTCAGAATTCAGCTTGCCGCATTCAGAATTTTAGAGCCTTATGAAATGTGACGGCCGATAAACCAAATTTGTTTGATGGCGGAGTAGTGAAAAAAGCTTCCCTATCCTATGATAACACAAGAATTTCCACTGTTTTTGGCTGTTCATATATGCGTAATATAACAATAAAAAAATAACGAAAACAACAGTTACACGAAGGAGATTAAAGATTTCATTCAATACATCAGTGATGGACAATTATGGTAGGAATAATCAAGTCTGTGTAGTCATGAAAAGAATGGGCGAAAGAGATCAAAAGAGCGTGAACAAGTTGATGGCGACTTCAACATACCACATGAAGGTAGATGCCAGCGTAGTGGACGTGACAAGGCCAGTGGGTAGCGCAGTGCTTAGCCATGTCGTCGATCAGGAAGCAAAGACGCTAGTTCGACCCTCTCCCCAACGCTCTCCTCCAATCCACGTGGTAACGCCTCAACATGGTTATATCCAAGATTGCCGAGATCAAAGGAGAATAAACTTGATCAGCATTCTGCGACATTCACAAAGAAGATAAAATCCTCAAGCAGCAGCCGAAACAATATGCGGAAAGTTCGAAGCGAAGACCATTGTGAACGATGAATGCGAGGAAAACGAATCGAATGAAGCAAGTGTCGGAATTCGCAGAGTAGATGTGATAACGGGTCATGTAAAAAAATACACGACAAGGTAAAGATTATCGGCAATTTTTATACAGAACATCCTCCTCATCAATGCTCTACAACGGTGTGTTGAACATTTCTAGGTATTACTCACAGGAAATCGCCAGGTTTTAAGGTCTATCGTCCAAAAGAGGATGAGAAATCAAATCAAACAAAAAAATTCTCAACGCATCTAACGTACCAGTACTATTCACCGACATTCCGTCATCTTCTAAAGCGATTTCTGGTGCACATTTATTGCTTTTTGAAAGTCCTGGAAAACACATATTTCAGGTTGTCTTCGAAAGGAACGACGACAACAACTAAAGAAATTTCATCACTTGAATAAACCTGGGACGGAGCAGATAAAAAGTGTTCATCGTGGTTCATACTTGGGATACTCGATGAATTAAGTATCTGAATAAAAAAGAACCTCAACCTAAATACTACACGGCATGCAATGGAAGCCTTACTTTGATAAGCGGGATGAGAATTATTTCTTCTGGAGGCATTCCCGTCTTCTTCGGTAATTCCAATAAAACTGTCTGCAAGTCAAAATGCTTCAGTGGATTCAGATGTCCGAAGTAAAAATCCTTCATAAGAGCACAAATTATTCGCTGTGAATTCCTATAAACAAAAGTTTTTCATTTAAAAATTATTGTTAAGAAATTGGGAAAAAATTTTGAAAAATAGAAAAAAATAGTGATAGGTAGAACAGATTACCATAGCAGCGCAATGACTATGAAACTAGCTTAGTTTTAAAATAAAAAGAAATCTTAACCCTTTATTTGCTGCCTACTATAATTGTTCACGGTAGGGTATTATATGAACTACAATCATAACGATGCCGAGATATTCGCAAAACTTGGACCCTGGGCAAGAGCGAACCATGATTAACCCTTCCAGGGGCTCGCGTATTACACACTGCACTACTCAAGCCCTTGCTTTGCGTTTCTCTTAGCTAGTTTTCCACCTAACGCTGCCATCAGCAATCACCCGTCAGCGGGATTGATCTGGGAATCTAAAAAAAAAGCTTTTGTTTTCCACATACCCAGATGATTCGCCGTTGAATTCAATAACTCCTTTCAGTAGGTTCCACTTTGTAATTTCACTACTTGGGATCATACTATACAACAGTCTAATGGCAGCAACAGCGGTACATCGCACGGCAAAATTTTGTGCTGTCGTCCAAGGTAAAATCCGCTCCATGTACAAATCTGGGAGAATCTAGAAAGAAAAAAGTGATGGATTCGTATAAGATTTCAAAGTGGCTTCCGAAATGTCGTCACAAAATCGTACTTCATTTCCTTCTGAACGTGATAACAGCATGACCATATTGATCCATGAACATACACTTCCGGTTCGTTTACTCGCAAGTATCCAGTCTAGGTTTAAAACCCGCTCTCGAAATTTGGATGAGCGCACGGCAAGTCGAACAAGTAACCATTCGAGGGGTAATTTAATCGAAAACTGCTGACATGGATCTACAATCCAGTTCACACAATTGTCGAACACACTGTTAAGAACATCCTAAAATCCTTTTCTGTGAATTTTCTTATCTAAGCACTGTGCAATATTATGGGAAAAAAGTTTGAAATGTGGCAAATAAAGTGAGAAGTCTTTCTAAATACCTCATCATGTAGGTAGTCAACTAGTAGAAGTAAGAGAGAAGCTGCTCGCGTATTCTGACGATGAGCGAAGGAAAGACCAAACGAACTGAAAGAATAATTATAGCGAGACAAGTTATTAAAAGGATAAAGCTCTCGCCGTTGGTCTCTGAGAGATGTGCTATGCATTCGACTTCAATAAGCATCGTTGGAGGTGACTGAATGCATATCTGGCCTTTACAATGACACGTGGTAGTCTATCAATGCATCGAGCTAGTGCTGCTATCCTCCCAGACAAGTTTGTTACCAATTTGCTAACCCCGGAGAGATGGAAGGCTTGGTGAACCTGGGCGCGTGGATCGATTCCACGTGTATTGAAGAGCGCCTTCGAACACTGCGCTACACGCGCCCTAGATAAGTTGTTAAGTGGTGCAAAACTAACCGAGATGAGTTGCGATTCATTTCATTCACTTGGGTAATAATATGTTCTACGAGTAGCACTACGAACTTGGAGTCGCGTTCACAAAGATGCAGAGCGGTACAAATTCCATTTAATCTGGTCCGTCGAATGATTTCGAATGGTCTGAAACCACAAGAAAGCGAATAAAAAGAACAATCTGTAAAAATTTTTTAGCTTTTGGCTTACTCATGGACATTTTCAAAGCAGTTTGGGCTGTCTGCGTAAATCATCTCATATGCTGCATTGACAACTCTATCTTCTTTTTTTGGTATTGGTCCAAAGACAGCAAGAGAAAAAACCTTAAGCAAGTACAAATAAACTTACAAAACCATGGAAACTCATTTCACAAAGAAATGATGGGAAGGTAAGATACCATGACTGCCCAATCCTCTGGTAACAAATTTGCTTTCTCGGCATCTAAAATAGCTTCAGAAACATAAAATGCAATCGATGTGTTCAGTTGAGCTAGAGTGAGAAGGTCGAAACTGTATTCCTTAACAAAGAGTATCCTGATTCCAAGGAAAAGAACAGAAAAAACCCCATATCTTTCTAAGCATACCATAAACATTTTGACCACATTACGATCATTCATGACAGACTTGGAGCAACACAACCTGAAACGAATTCAGTGCAAGACATTGTCATTACATCCAAATTTCATTAGCTATAAGTCAATATTGATAACTTTGAAAGTCTCTTTTGATAACCGAGAAAAAGGCGGGTGTAGCGCGCAGTGGTTGGAGGCGCCTTGCAATACACACATAGGATCGGTCCTCACGTCCATAGCTCACCAAGCCTTCCATTCCTCCCCAGCAAATTCGGCAAATTGGTAACACACTTATCTGAGAGGATAGCATCACTGGCTCGATACATCGGTAGGCCACCGCGAGTCATTGTAAAGGCCAGATATGCACTAAGTCTCCCCCAACGACGCATAATGACGTCGAATGCATGGCGCATTCCTCAGGAATTGATCAACGTCGAGATATAATTCGATTTCCCCAATAAATAAAAGAGTAAAAGTAAACACATACGTACACAAATATGTTATACGGACGCTAGCTTAAAGCTGTTATCACACCAAAAACAGGAGATATTGGGTTTACAAGTACTCGGCAATGTAAAACGTTGCTAGATTTCAACGCATGAAGTATACATGATTCACCTCCAGTCTGGCTTATTTCGAACAGGGCCGCTGGATCGAAGATGTCTCGGGCAAACCAAACTCCATTCCACACGGAGTTGGGGAATTAGTATCAGATTTGTCTGGAAAGGACTCCTTCCCATTAATAAAGGCTGGCAACTGTGATGATGTATGATGAAAAAATAGGAAGGCAGTAGGACAGCAAACCCAGGATTTCAAAAAGAACCGAATCGACCAGTACTCAACTATAATGTAGACCAATAATCCTTACACAGCAACCGATTCCACACCCAAATCTGAAGGCTTTCGTGTATGCGAGCAAACGAATCAAATGAAAAAAGGAGCTGCGAACTTTACAATATGTTATGCCAGGTCATAGTGAGGTAAGTTGTCGACTTCCCAAGTACCTTAGTTACAAAGAGAATTTGAGGAAAGTGATGAAAAACAGACATGGGTCGTGAATTCTGACGCAGCTTGCAAATAAGTTCATCAAAGAAGAGAAAAAACGAAGACAAGTAAGACGTGTTTTACCTCAGCACAGAACGCAAAGAAGGTAAGAAATGTTGAGATTTCTTTTTCTCTTTTGTGAGAACAATTGCAGCTTTAACCACCGCCAGCAAAGTGTTCGAGCATTTGACCTAAATTTTGCACAATTCTCAAGAACTTAAAACCACCCTACAACAGCGAATAACTTCACGTCCAGTCATGTCTCTGTGAATCGCAAACAGTGACAATGCGATGACGATATGGTGAATCAACTTTTTGTCGTTGTGAGTAGATTGAACATACTATATAATCCTAACTCTTTTATTTACTGCCTTTTTTTTTCTTCTTAATGGCAGGGTATGTTGTGAAATATAACTCGTATGAAGTGCTGAGATATTTGCAAAACTCCGGACCACGACCCGGATGGTGTAGTGGTGAAGTGCGCTGCTCCCCAGTAAGGACAACAGCGCGTGTTCGTTCTCCACTGCATACACCTGTGGTCCGGAGTTTTGCAAATATCTCACCACTTCATACGAGTTATACTATATAATCTTCATAAAAAGTAATAAACAAGGCAAAGCTGACTCTATCTATGAACATGTGCATGATTTCCAAGTAGCACTGTGCGACCGGATATGAAGACGCAAATGAGAGCTGATCTGCACATTCCAGCAATATTTGTTCAGGATCCATACGAACTACATTTGGCAGAAATCTGAAAGACGTGCATCGCATAACGTAAGCAACAATATAGTCAATAACTTCGAAACATTTCTCACTTTACAAGCACCTTAAGGCGATACTCGTGAACTGCAGAAGACAACTTGTTGCCATCTTTTTCGCAAAGAAACACGATAGATCTTAATCGGTAAAATATTTTCGGAGTTTTGCAGGTTTAGCCATTGTGTTTCCCAAGAGTCCCGAGATCAGGCAAGCCAAAGTCTGCACCTGGTGAGAAATGTTGTCACCACCACACGTAGTCGGAGCCCTTGTGGATAGGAGGGAGATTTGCAGGACTTGTTTCATAGCAGACGGTGGTGGATCCTGGTGCTGGTTTACTTTTAGCTATGCTTCCTAATGGAAACGCCGAATTCCCTCTCAGCTTGGGAGACCCTGCCAGAGGATAAATCCCCCCGATGCACATCGCAGTCCGACACCCAGGAACACTTCCTAGACACGATGAGGCGATAATCCGTTCGGAGACCAAGACATATTTCACTGTAAAAATAAGAAAGTACGAAACTAACTCTGGATGTTCCACAGGAACAAGTGGACGTGGTCCAAAATATCGAACTATGCCAGGTATAACATTTTCAACTTCATGGCTGGTAAGGTGATCGAGAGCATCATATAAAATTCGTAAAAGGAAGTAATGACGGTCAACAGAAATCCCTTCCTAAATAATGAAATAGGATTACAATGAGATTAATGTGGAATTCACCATAAAATGTTTGTTATCAATTAATCCCTCAACAGAAGCAACTTTATTCTAGTAAAAGTTGCAAACCTCAGCTATCAGAGACAAACAGAGATCTACAAGAGACTTAAACGATAATCCTAAACGGTTCCAAATCCCAGCGTATACATTGTGAACCATAAACATTTCGCGGTCCTAAAAAATGTTTGTAATATATAATAAGTAAGTTGCTGTGTTTTCGACGAACTTTACCCGCCACACCCGATATGAGTTTATACCAACTCATGTTGTCCCATTTGCGCGCCTAGAAAAAAAACCCGGTCCCTTTTGCTGCATTTCTTGTACCATAATCCAACTTCTCCATGAATTTTGCTACCAAATTCGATTTTTTCTGGCTTCTGCGTATCCTCTTTGTTCTTCCAGGTCTTCCCACATAGTTTTGGAACAAATGGAACCCATGTGTGCTAAAAACACAACTACGGTTCTGCCCGCATTTTTCCGCATGATATGAACTATGCCGGTAATTTTTATACCCACCCATAACCTACAGTAACCATTATCCATCGTAGTGATTGTGAATGAAATAACAGTGAACTACTGATCAAAATTCACTTTTGTATGCTCAAGACATGATGTACACTAACGTGTTTGAGAGCCGAGGAACTGATAGAATTTCAAGACACACGTTCCTCATCTTTTTATTCCCTTTTATTTTTACTTTTCGAACGCGTCTTTTCAAGCTAACTGAAAAATAACTTCATACAGAAAAGTCATAGAAAAAAAGAAGCTATGGAATCAGAGCATGTATTAGATACACATTGTGGAATACCTAACGTGTTGGACAAGCTCTCGCTTGATCAATCGTTTTATTGTTCGAAATAGGAACTTCGATGAAGTGTGGGCTTAGTAAGACAAGAATTCCAGCTTACTAAGACCGGAAAAATTCCCTGTTCTTTTGATGAACAAACACAAGGTTGTTACTTTATTCTTTATTTATAAACCAGCTGACATTTCAGCGAAATTCGTCTTCCTCAGAAAAATATTTTCTCTCTTTGGTTATGGAGGTATCTGCCTGGGTAGGTTGCAGTCAACTTGACCTTTCTAGGCTCTAAAGAAGGAGAAATCGGTCGACACATTAGCTTGTTTATAAACGAAAAATAAAGTAACAACCTCGCGTTTCCCCATCAAGCGAACAACGAATTCTTCAATCAATGCCGAGGTTAAGAGAAAGTGGTTCGTAATACAGGAAAAGTTATTTCTTGCCTGGATGTAGTTCCTACAGATGTTTATCTTTATAAATAAACTGCGAGCTGAGCTATGCTTGTTGTGAGAAAGAATGAATTGTTTGAAATACTTCTAAATACGTAGGAAACCCAACACTTGATAGGGTAGTAAACCAAGGAAAAGTGTTAACTATCGAATTCATGGGTTTAATGCTGGTATGGAGCAGAGCAGTGATTGGTGACGCAGTTCGTTAGGGAACAAGGTAGTTTACCCACCTCCTCCTCATGCTCCACACCCAATCCACGTGGGAACGCACTAGCTCGAGCATCCACGAGATTGCAAGGAGAATTGCCTTGTCGCATCAAGATGTTCCTAACTGCCGAAGTTAAATCATCAAGTACAACAAGGACACCTCTGCACCATACTCAACGGCAACACATTCTGTAGTGGGTGCTATGTTTACTATCAACAGTTCTTGTTGGCGAAATAAACTAATTCGAAAAGTTTTTTTTAAATAAGCTGTTAAGTACGAAGAACAGCTTTCCAGGTTCTACGAGGAACTTAATGATTTGCTTTCGATAAGCTACCGAAACTACAGAAATCACAACAAAACACCTTTGATCTGAGTAGCAAAATAAACGACCGTAAAAAAATTGAGTCGATAACAACCCTTGTTGGCTTCATTGCCTTCGCCAAAGCATGGGTGTAAATTCAATCAGTTTAGACCCTGAGTGTTGAAGTTGATCACCAGCACAGAATTCACACGGGATGAGGAATGTGACTGCTGCGCGTAACAGGTAAAAAAGGTTAACCTGGTATAGGAGCCCAAAGCATCTCTCCCTGCACTCCAACCTTGGGTTCATGAAGTTGGACTAAAATTCCTCGAGAATTTAGTGCAAAAATCGTAAATATCACTTCAGAAATGTCTCCCCTGTTTTTGTATCCTCCGTGTTCGTAAGTGATGCGATAGAAAGCATGAAGATAGAGCCAGTTGCAGGACCTGATAAGATCACCACCGACTTCTTTCGAACTAG